AGTGCACCCCTAAGCTCAGTGGACCACATGAGGATATTGGAAGATTCCGGTTATTGGGGACTTGTGCTAAAAGATGATTTTGTAGGATTCAAGTTACTTGTTACATGCACTTTACAATTTTACACTAGTCAGGCTACATGTACATTGTATACATGTGTATGTACATTTTCCAAAGAGATTTAATCAGTGCAACACTGACTTTCAGAAGGACGTGACCTTTACAGTTACTGGGATATTGGACACCCCCAGATGCAAACCAAACATTACAGTATTTACACAGTGACCCAGGACAGTGACTTATGGCTGGCCCTGTACTGCACAATGAACGCCACCCGTCAATTGATGGGGCGATTTTTCAGTGGTGTGGGCAATGTGTATTGTTTTTACAGTGTCAGCATAATGGCTGAAGGGTACACTTCAGAATGTCGGTTATTTTCGAAGCAACATTTTTTAATATAAACTGTAGTGTGTTGCTAGGAAAGGTACTCACTCGGTCGCTTTCTTCACATTTTTCCTCTTTTAGCAACGCAAAATGTTGATGACTGAATTTGTCGGTATCGCCTTTTTTGTACGGATTCTACAATATATCGGTGGTGCACCGGTGCTAGGTGTTCCATATTGAGACAATATTTGTCGACGAAGTCATCAAGCTAGAAGCTTCCAAACCAAAATTTTTCGCCGTGTTTGTTTTCGAGTTCGAGTCCTGTTTGATAAAGTATTGTTCAGACGTGTAGACACCTTGTGGAACGAACGTGCTGGATTTTTTGTCTTTTGTCCAATCTACTACAATCTACAATCATATTTAAATTGTGGGCAGAAGATCACTTTTCGTTTCAGTGTGATGGGGGTTAACCGCGAAAAAAAGTTTTTTATTCGCCTTTCCCCAAAGATTCTCCTAAAATAGTAGTAAGACTATGCGCTCAACTCTGAAGGTAGCCGCCCGCCTCTATCCAAAATGGGCCCGCAATTTTGGGGCTTTTTGTACAAGAAGTATCCGGACCTGGAAACTACCAGTTTAAATTCGGGATTTATAGAAATATTTCTATGATCACTCCTGATTATGACATGTCTTATTGTAAACAATATGCGCCTTTTCAGGTGACAGTGGGGTAAAACCCAAAGCTAATATTGATTTGACATCCATTGCAATCTCGATGTCATTTTTTGTTGTTGAAATTCCAGCAACTAGGGATTGTTCCTTTCTGTCGTTTTCATTTCATTATTTTCCTGCTTGTATTTTTCGGGCAGACCTGTCTGACAAAAGTAAGTGACAGATCAAGGGAGGAAACGAGACAAGCCCCTAAGCCCTGGCCGCCGCGTCAGCCATACGTCTCGAACCTGTACTAAGGCGCTCACCTGGACTTCGCGGACAGTGCCAGCCGCAGAGCTTACCCGGTCGGTTAAGGTACTGCTGGCATTTGATGGGGGTCAATTGGAGTCTCTTATAGCAACTGACTGACAGCAAGCGTCGGGAAAATAAAAAGTCAGTTCTGGGATTCGAACCCACCCTCAAACGATCTGATAACCGCGAGCTTAACCACTCGGCCATCTCAGAGATACTACTTTTTGCTGGTTATATTAATTAAGGAGATAACAAAGTCATTCAACTTACTGCACATAATGTTGCTGTGCAAATACTGAGTGATTGAAACGTTATCGACCCTGAGCCGAAGTGCACCCTCACCGGCGAAAGAAAGACAGGTTTTCCAACCGGGTGCTAACACGCGTTCGGCGTGCACGTATAATTAAAAACCGTTGCACGTACTCAGTGTGCTCTGCGTCAACGCGCATAATCTTGCGAACCTATGCGGTGCGTGACTATCTTTGGTGAGTACTAAAGGACTGTCGATTTCATTTCAAAATACGCCCTCTTTTACTCATGCTCGGAGCGGATATAATGGAGATCAAGGGGTTACAAGCAAAGATAGTATAGCGGCGCTATACTATCTTTGGTTGCAAGCATTGATCGCCATTTGCATGGAGCCATGGAACCCGAAGTTAACGCACAACTTCTGCGATCGTCCAATGGGAGCCTGCAAGTCGTGGCGCGTCCGCCTTTGTGACGAAGTCACTTACGAACGGGATAGGGAGCGCGTACGTCGTGCTCTTTAAAAATGCTGCACGCGCGCAAGTGACAAAACCGCAACGGTACACCACTTCAACTGAAAAAAGGAAAGTTACTCACATCTTTTTTCATTTAATTTTTCATGGTTCACCGTTGCAATGTTTCATCTGAAACCCAATCAGAAAGTGAAAAGAGGTCGGACAGAATTGCGTACTCATCGTGAAGCCATATAGCCCTTCAGACCAATTAAAAAACTTCATTTAAGAGAGATGTGTGCTGAAATTCTGTGGTGCACCGTTCACGATGCGCCAACCTCATCCCATTTTCAATGGCCCTCTTGCCTCTTGTTGTTCAAACTTGCGAGCAGCAATCCCATTCGTGCAAATTGACTATGGAACCTTCCACTGAAAATAATCCTCTACCAATGGGTGATCATAACCCATAGCTCCTGTATCACTAAATATTAAATAACTATGTATTTCCATATACTTTTTTGGGGGGGGGGCTCCTGACAGGACATATTACCACACCTTGCCTATAGTAGTCATTATTTATTCCTTTCCATAACCATGTAATGCTTACTGCATCACACGACAGCGCCCGAAACAGCAATGCCGCAAACCCCAGTTCTCCCAGGTAACACAGGCCCACACTCATGACACCCACTGTCCACTCAGACAATCCTGGACAAAATAGTTGGAACACCTTGTGGGAAGCGCGTTGCAAAGATCCCCCTCTCCCCCATTCAATGTTGCGTTCATTTATTGGACCAAGATTCGGCCCAGCTTACCCAATGAGTAGCAACATTGACAGGGGGCGAGAGGGGAGGCATGTTCCAACGAGATTTGTCCAGGAATGTAGGTTTGGTTCCTTTTTTAGTCTTTTGACAATGATATATAGGTTATTTGGATATGATCTTTTGAGTCCGATATGTTTGTAGTCTTTGATCACAAATCCGAGTATGGTACAGAAAATATTTTTAAGAAAGTTTGAGTTCTCTGTTGTTCAACATAGCTTGAATAGTAGTTGGTCGTTGAAATAGCCGGCTCATGACAACACTGTAGTATGTGATAGGCTCATAGAAATTATCGTTTGTTCTTCTCTATATAGGCTTGTTTTTCTATCGTTTCTGACAGCTGTTTTGGGGACCTTTTTCTGGCTGTAGATTCTGTTTGCTAGTTGACTAAGAGATTTCTCTTTCGGTTTCACATATTGTAATGGAAATAACTCTCATCCAGGGTCGCTTTTTCTATTGTATGAATGTACTTTAACTATGTGTGTGTCTGAGAGTGCCAGAGAAGTCTTGGCCGATCTGGCCAGACCCATTTTTTCTTTATATAGTTTCTTTGTTGCTTTTGTAGTTTAATTAGGCGTGGGTCTGGGAGTGCCTCATCTATTGCAAAAGAATGTTCTTTGTTACAGTTTCCTTACTTAAGTTGGTGTCTCTAGGAATGAGTGAGGCATTTCTGTGCCAACGGTGACTGGAGACACACCCTGCTGGACGGCTTGCTACCAATCATGTATAATTTTCAAGTTATTTTTGTATAAGTTTGTTGGAAGCCGTCTAGTTTATCCCTTAATTTGGTTTGGCACCCTGGATGTCCCTTTTCTTTGCCTGGGCCACTTCCGTTGGAACATTTTCTGTAAATAGAAAAAGTGAAACCAGAAGGCAGTTTTGCTTGTGATTATTTATGTACTGGTGTCCGTTACAATATTTCTTCTAAAAATATTTCTAGACGCCGTTTAGAAAATGTGTAGACTTCTATAGCATCTGTAGTTTCCGATTGTCTTATCTCAAAAACGTGTTCGTCGTTTTTAGTGGCGTAGGTTCCTTGCTGTCTATGGTCGGCATTTTTTTGCCAAGTCCAACGGATATTTATGTTTGGTTGATGGCAAAGACTGTTCGCGAACTGCTGTCGGTGCGTTTGCGTTGCAAAGGATAGTCGTGCGAAAAGGAGCTGCGCTGATATCCAGTTTGCCACCTTTGTGGTAAATTTTGGTTTAGTCGAGTACAAACGATTTTTGGTCGTTTTGTTCCCCCAGTTCACTCGTTTCACTGGTTTCTTTGCGTTCACTTTTTCCTACCTGGGATCGACACGCCTGCAATATGCCCACTATGGACATTGGCGTACCAACCGACGTTGTTTTGTTTCATAGCACATCTATTTGTTTATAGAAGTAGAATTTATTTAAATTTTATTTGGTTAGATTGCTTTCCTATAGATAGTGAAACAAATCTTTCTATCTATTTTGCCAAAAAAATCACCCCTCTATTACAAATTGGAATACAGGGTGCTAACAAGTAAAAGAAACAGTGGGGAACCGAGAGAATCCATTGAGCAGATACAACAGTAGCGAGCTCGGTCGAGCCCGTAGAGTTTAATATATATATTAAACAAATTGCGACAATTATATA